TCCTCTGTCTCTGAGAGGACACGGTCCTGGTCCTCTGTCTCTGTGAGGACATGGTCCTGGTCCTGTGAGGACATTTCATAGAGAATGTGAGGAACATATTTGGAACGTAAGGACGTTCATTAGAAGTGGACTTTTTCTACAGAAACCATGTTTGTGGAAAGTGAGGACGAGACTTTCATCGTCATTGTCCCTTATTGTCTTTGTCCTATCTGTCTGTCTCTCTGGTCTCAGTCTGTCTGTCCTACCTGCTGAGGATCGTCTCTCTGAGCTCAGGTGAGCTTCAGGCATCAAACACACGTTCCACATATTCGTCTCTGACATTCGTCCATAAAGGACAAAGACAGTTTTCACTGTGACTGCATAGAAACAAGCAAAGCATCATGGGAACTGTAGTTCTAAAAGCCAGAGCCTGATAAGACTAAACATTGATATTGAATTTCCCATTGCACTATCAATACATTTTATTAACTATTACTAGATAACAATAAATGAAGAGTCAAATGACCTCATGCAATGAAGTGTTGATCAGTATTTATTGGAATACTCTGTGTACACGTGTTTTTATTCAAGTAAAAGTCCTTCCATGGGGACTCAGATCCATTCGTCTGTTTGTCGGTGTCCCTCTTGACCTCCGTCTTCATCCTATATCCCAGGAAGGTGGAGTCCTCCAGGACCAGAGGGAGTCCAGCAGGGTCCCTGTCAGAGGCCCCGAGATCAGGACCAGGACCAGGAGGAGGAAGTAGCAACTCAGAGCAGAGCCACAGCAGGAACGGTCAGTTCAACTCTTCAACAGTAACGTTAATGTTAAACTGTATTTCAGTCAGCAACACGACCACGAAGCTTCATGCAAATGAGCATAGAAGTGGCTGTTGGAGCTAATGTTAGCTTAAACAGTGATTCACTACAGCCACAGTCTGAGGAGGGGAACTAAATGTTTGTCCTGAGGGTAAACTACAATGTGAAGGGTTTCTCCTCTGGAGAGCAGGAGTATACTGTGTATAAAACATCAGTGAAGCAGGATGAACCTTGGGTTGCTGTGTTTCGTCCTGCAGGAGCCTCCAGAGGGTTCAGAGACTCAAAGGCCCCCAACGATAAAACCGGATCTCTGCATTTAGGTACGATTCAAACCACCACAGCTAAGTTTGTTTACGCCATAAAACAAGTAAAAGAAACCAGCAAGTAAACATCGGGAACCATCGCCTTTTAAATGCTTCTCTGTATTTTTACGTTTTCCAGCTTTTATTGTGAAAGGTAAGCAGGAAGCAGTGGATCTGATCTGAGCTGCAAAAGCTCCGAAAAATCAACCTCGATAAGAAATAAATATTCGGCCGCTTCATCGCGACCTCATATTTGAGTTCTGTGTGAAAATATTTTTGACAAAAACAACAACAGCTGGAAAATCACATAAATATAATAGCTTAAACTATAAATAGAGTTTGAATTACATCTGGAGCCACTTTGAATATAACCACAACTGTAAACACTTGTTTCTGTTAGTAAGAGAAGAGTGTCGTCTGCAAAGAGTTGCATCGTTCGATCTTTTCTGGGGATTCACAATGTTTCTTTTTTCAAACGTTTCACAGAAGACGACGTCGAATACGACGACGACTTCAACAGGTGAGACCGACTGTGTTTAACTCTTCTTCTGTGGTTTCTGTGGTTTGTGTTCATGTGCTGTAAAATAAACTCTGTGACGCATAATTAACTATGCAGGTTTATTTAACAGAACAGATTGATATCGATGTGTTTGTTGCAGCCATCGGTCGGACCTCTCGAAGAGCGAGCTCAGTATCGGGGAGGAGATCGAGGAAGTCTCCATCGAGGGGCCCGACGTCAGCGACAAGGTGAGCCCACTTCCTCCCGCTTCCTCCCGCTCTCTCCCGCTTCCTCACGCTCTCTCCCACTTCCTCCTGCTCCCTCCCGCTTCCTCCCGCTCTCTCCCGCTCTCTCCGACTTCCTCCCGCTCTCTCCGACTTCCTCCCACTCTCTCCGACTTCCTCCCGCTCTCTCCCACTCTCTCCCGCTTCCTCCCGCTCTCTCCCGCTTCCTCCCGCTTCCTCCCACTCTCTCCTGCTTCCTCCCGCTCTCTCCGACTTCCTCCCGCTCTCTCCGACTTCCTCCTGCTCTCTCCCGCTCTCTCCCGCTTCCTCCCGCTTCCTCCTGCTCTCTCCTGCTTCCTCCCACTTCCTCCCGCTCTCTCCGACTTCCTCCCTGCTCTCTCCCGCTTCCTCCCGCTCTCTCCGACTTCCTCCCGCTCTCTCCTGCTTCCTCCCACTTCCTCCCACTCTCTCCGACATCCTCCCGCTCTCTCACGCTTCCTCCCACTTCCTCCCACTCTCTCCGACATCCTCCCGCTTCCTCCCGCTCTCTCCCACTTCCTCCCGCTCTCTCCTGCTTCCTCCCGCTCTCTCCTGCTTCCTCCCACTTCCTCCCACTCTCTCGACATCCTCCCGCTCTCTCACGCTTCCTCCCGCTCTCTCCCACTTCCTCCCGCTCTCTCCTGCTTCCTCCCAATTCCTCCCGCTCTCTCCGACTTCCTCCCGCTCCCTCCCACTCCCTCTCTCCAGCGTGTACTGTCTCTTTAAAGCTGCATCCTGGCCTCATGTTGCTGTTTGTTCTACAGTTTGATGAAAGCACTCAGGACCTGAGCGTCTCTCAGCTCAGTCAGAGTCACGGAGCCGACTACATGGAGGAGGTGGCCTGAGACTCCCATCATGCACCTCTTCCTTCTCCTCCATATTGAAGTGTGTAGGCCTTCTAATAATAAATGGATTTGTATTTCACGTGTTGTGTCTCTGTGAGGTTGTTGAAGGTTTGATGTGACGTTTCTAATCTTTTATCTTTAATTTAAAACGTCTGAAGTAGAAAGAAGTAAGAGGACGTCTGGAGGACTTTATGAAAATATGAACTGAATTCAACAGCAGCGTTATCATTTTCATCAGTTAAAATTAAAATGCAAAAAGCTGTTTTGTAATTTTTTTCACCCAGAAGTGTGACGTGATGAAACTTGTAGAATTAAATTTGCATAAGTTTCAGATGCGTTTCATTCTCTTTGATCTCAGGCGCCTCAAAATGATTCCTCAATCTAAAACAACTCATTTTTATTCATTTTACATTTTTAGTTTATTTTTAGACAAATCTTTTCTCGTGTGAAACTGTATGAATATGAAATGTTATATTTCATATTCATATGTAACCTTTAACACTGACTCTCAGCATTCATCACTTCCTGTTTGTCACACTTCAAACCACAAACTTTAAATCAGGTCTTTGTCTTTATTTGTGCTCCGATTATACCAGCGACACCTGAACGCACCATCTCCAGATAACCCAGTGTGTGTGTGTGTGTGTGTATGTTAGTGTGTGTCTGAGTGTGTGTGTTAGTGTGTGTGTGTGTGTTAGTGTGTGTGTGTGTGCGACAGTGTGTGTGTGTGTGTGACTGTGTGAGTGTCTGTGTGTGACTGTGTGTGTGAGTGTCTGTGTGTGAGTGTGTGACTTTGTGTGTGTGTGTGTGTGTGTGTGTGTGTGTGTGTGTGTGTGTGTGT